TCTGTTGAATTTGCCTCTAATATTATTGCTTTCTTTTCCTTTTTTTTGTGCTCTATCATCCCTTCATATCGTTCGCAGCCGTAGCACCCGACCTCTTAGTCGCACTTCCTCGTGCTACAAACCACCTCGTGCTTGACACGCTCCTTTGCCTTTTCGTTTGCCGTATAAAACACGCGCACCACTCCGCTCCTGGACTGTCCACTAAAACTAAGCAGCAGCAACTTGCCAGAAGCATACGCAGCCGTCAACTCCGTTTTCACCGCACACGCACACACGCTTCTTTCCACTCTTTTTTCACTGAGCTGCTCGCAGTTTGCTTGCTCTTCTGGCGCAATTCCACATTTAAATTGCCAATACCTCCCAGCAGCAAATACTGTGGCTTTTATATTCCACTCCTCCCTCACATTATTGCTGTCTGCTTTATCTACAGCGCATATAACGGCCTAGCTACCAATAGTCGAACGCCTCGTATTTGCAAGGCACACGGTTTCTGCATCGCCATTCCCAGCTAGTTGGTCGCTGTAGCTATGCTTTGCTGTAAACATGAGAGGCTCTGTATAGAGGAGCTCAGAGTAGTAGAACAGGTACGTCTTCTTACGCAACCTGCTTCCATTGATGCACAGCAACAACGCACAGCAAGCTTGGAACAAGAGCTAGAGCCTCCTACTCCCACTTCACCCCGCCTCCCCGGCCTCACTGGGTTCATAGCCGCCTAGTAACAATGGCGCCACTGCCTAATTATTACCTGCTGCTGCTGGAAATACTGATGCTTTAGCAAGAGAAAAAAGACCCCAAATGCAGCTGTCAATTGGGGGCGTGGATGCTTGTTTTTGGAGGCTGCTGCTACTATTACTGCTGTTGAGTGTGTTGTGCTGTTGCTGCTATTATTGTAGCACTTTGTGGAACCGAGCAGCATCCACTTCTACTAACGCTATAGCCTTGTTTCGCATACACAACCGCATTTTCTGGCTACAATGGGCGCTTGCCTGTGTAGGTCATGAACACATACCTCGAAGAAAGATGGAGCTCCGTTGGCCTGAGCTTTAACCCCTGGGAGCACTCGCGCGCAGAGCAGCAAGGAATCCTGCTGGCCATTTTCAAAAACCTGCACGTTCTCACGGTTTTGGAGCTGACGCCCAGCGAAATGCTCGACTTTTGTCTGGACATCGAGAAACTGTACAAGGACGTGCCGTACCACTCATTCAACCATGCAGTCGACGTCGTTGTCAAGCTATACTACGTGCTGCACGATTTGCAGGCCTCCTCGTACTTGGCCTCCTACGATATCGCTGTTCTGCTCATTAGCGGCCTATGCCATGACGCTGGACATGTAAGTAGCCCACTGCTCCTGCTGATGTACTCGTACCTTGCATGTGCATATGCTGCATGCTGTGCAGCCCCACCCCTCACCTGGGAGGATGCAATTGCTTTGTAGCATGCATGTGTGCCAGCCCTCTTCCCTTCCAGCTGCTGCTGCTGCTGCTGAGTTTTCGCTTGCTGGCTCACTCACCCGCTTTCCACTCTGTTACCAAGGTGCGCTTTACTGATAATGCATGCACACAAGAGGCCACCTCCGCTCACCATTATCATTCTGTTCTTTCGAGTTGTAGCCAGGCCTAAACAACCTCTTTCAGAAGAATGCAAATACCGAGTGCGCGCAAAAGTACCCCGACGCTATTCTCGAACGCTACTCGATCGACCTTGCTGTCGAGCACGTAGGAAAGCACCGTCTCTTCCGCAATGTTGAAAACGTCCGCGACCCCTTGTACAATGATAGCACAACCACCGAGCCTGATGTTGCCTCGCGAATGATGTCTAGTATCCGGTCGGCTATTCTGTACACCGACATGTCTCGCCACTTTGACGTCCTTGAGGAATGCAAGGTTTTGGTGTCGGCCTTGTCCAAGAAGGCACGCAGGATATCGGATAACAACTCTCCATCGAGCGAATACCACTCTGACAACCCCACGCACGGCGAGTCGCACGAACTATCGCAAGTAAGGCGCCAGCAGCAGCATAGCTTAATCCCACCCTCGCCTCCCAAGCGCACGCCGCCAAGACCAAAGCTTCTAAAGATACAGAAACAGCTATCCCGTGGCCGGTCGCCTAGCGAACCCCCGACACCCGCAGCACCATTTATCTCCGCCTTGAAGAGCACAAACATCACCATCCCTTCTCAAGTGGCACCTCTGGCTCCGCTGCAAACACCTCCATCAGCGACTGCAAACAGCAGCAGCAATGAAGCCATTGGACGCGGCAGCGGCAGCGGCAGCAATATCAAAAGGATCCATATGCGGAGATCCATATCCATGTGCGATGCGCTGTTAGATAGTACACAGAGGCAGAGCCTGATTGGCATCTTGCTGCATGCTGTGGATGTCTTTAACCCCGTGCTCCCGTGGCCAATGTGCAAGAAGTGGTCGGATTTGATGAACACAGAGTCCTTCAACCAGGGGGATTTGGAGAAGAAGCTTTCGCTGCCAGTCTCACCCAACATGGACCGCGAGACGACTGATCAACGGCAGGTTTCGTTGGATTTCGGAAACATCATCATTCGTCCGTTCTTCCTTGAGCTAGTATCGCTGTTCCCTGTCGAGGATGCTTTGCTTCCCTCCTTGGACAGGAACTTGGTCAAGTGGAGCAGACTCTCATCAGATAGCACAAGCGAGGTCAGTGCCCCCGTTGGTGCGAATAGCCGGATGTACTCGTGGCCAACGGAACCCAAGCAGACGCCTGTCTCCCGAACAAGCTCTAGGATTCTCGCTGAGGGAAGGCGGCTGAGCGTTGCAGCTGGCACTGTTGACATTCCGCAGTCTCGCTTAGAGATGATTCGGAGACATTCGCATGAGGGGTTTGAAGCGCTGCACCGGCGAATGGTCGGTCGGTTGTTTTCCAAGCACCTGGAGAAGATACAGGAGCGACGAAAAGTGTCGTATACTGCAAGCCAGCTGCCGCTTGCTCGGCGGGACGGACAGCACCATTTGCCAGCTGCTAATATCAATATCCCCATCAGCGGCCCGCCATGGAGAGGCTTTGACACAGACTTGCTCTCGCCCGTGACCGAGACCAGCGGCGCTGAAGACATAAGTGCGCCAGCTTCGGGAAACGACTCTGGTGCAGAGAATCAAGCCACAGCCGTGGCTAGCGAGCTCGGTGCGGTGCAGCTCCCTACGCCACAGCAACACCACCACCCGGCTGCCACTCCCCTCGGCAACCCTGCAAGCGGTTCTGGCAGCGCAACACACCAGCCAGCTCCATTTTGGGCTTCGGGCGAGTCAGACTTGATTGGCCCTACCCCTACCACATCCACAGATGGCCTGCCGGTAATGAGCAGCGTGGGAATGTCGATTCATAACTGCGACGCTATGCCCTCATACTTGAGCTCGTACCGTATTGACAAGATCGCAGCCAATGGCCGCCAGCACCGCAGCACGTCGCTGGACCCGTCCATTCTCTCAAACCTGCCTTCATCATACCCGTCGCTACACCGAACACGCCCTGAGAAAATATCATCTGGGCTGTCGGATGAACGCTAGATTATAATATGCTATTTACTTGCATATGCCGCTGCCGCTGCTGGCTGCTTCTCTACATGTCTCCCCTTGCGCACCCCATTTAGTCTTATTTTATTTGGTCTGTCTCCCTTAGCGTGTAGACACACTCTCTTACTAGTAGCTGCCTCTACCTTACTATTATTCCGTCGTGTACTAATAGGCACATTGTACCCCTTCTTTAATAAATGCTGTCTTTATTGTTTGCTGACTGTCCCGAGATATATTGAAGTGATGGCTGCTAGATGGCTCTTTAGTCCTGAGGGCGTCTGATTAGCTTTAGAATACTGTTCAGCATGCTGGCGAATAGCGACGATATTCCCCCGGCATACTTGTTGATGGTTCCCTTGGCGATATATGTGGAGACACTGAGCGTCAGATCGTCATAGAAAGACAGCTTTTGGGCCTTGTTTCCCATGGATATCATCAAGGTGTCGCCAGCAAGGGACTCGTCGCAAATGGCCCTGATCATAGTCTTGACAACCTTGTCCGAATTCATCAGGCCGATTTGGCCGACTATCGGGTACGCGCTGACCATGCGATTATTCTCGACTAGCGGCGTGTTGGTGAAATAAGGCGCCACTGCATTGACACGTATCTGTGGGGCCAGGCCCTTGCACGTGGTTGTGAAGAATATCAGCCCTGCTTTCGTCGTTCCGTAGCTCTCCATTATTGAGATCGGCGTTAGCCCACCGATGGACGCCGTGTTTAACACCACACCGTTGAGCCCGGTTTCGCGGAAGTAGCGCACGGCGATGCGAGTGGCCTCCATTGGCGCTCTGAGGTTGATGTCGATGATGCGGTCCAGCTCAACACTGTCTTTTTGGCTGAACAGTGAGCACTCGTTGGCTATCCCGGCGTTGTTGACTACTACGTCGATGCAACCGAATACCTCAACTGCCTTGTCAAAATAGGCCTGTATATCGTTCGCCTTACGCACATCGCTCACCATATACGAGGTGGCTGTCTGGTGCTCGCCAAGCCTGGCGTTGATTTCGTCGGAAACCTGCTTGATGCCCGGGTTGATGTCAACCAGGAGCACCTGAGCTTTGTATTCAGCTAGGCGCTCGCTCAGTTGCTTGCCCAGCCCACTTGCTGCACCTGTTACAACGACGACTTTTCCCTCTAGCTGAGAGATATATTTCTCCATACTACTGGTGGCCATGTCTATGTTTTTGTGACGTTTGAGCGTGCCACTTAGATATGGATGTCAAAAAGCGAAGGAAAGGCGAGGTGTATGGAAGGAGTGGTGCTCGACCTGCAACATCAGGAGGTGTGCCAGTGCGCGCAATATGCTCATTCGCACTTGCACAGTATTGCACGTTACTGCTTGCCAAATTGCGAGGGCTGAATTGCAGTAATATCTGAAACAATATATCTGCACGTGTAGGTGTATGTTTGCGTCGAAAATCAGCAGAGTTGGTCGGATCGCTGAATTTGGCTGGCGATGGGGCTTTAGCTCAGGGGTAGAGCAATCGGCTGCAGTCCGATAGGTCCCCGGTTCAAATCCGGGAGGTCCCTTCCTTTTGCCCTTTCATTTTGGCCTGCCCGCTCAAGTGGCCAACCCGTAACCACGCGGTGCTGCGCCTTTTGCAGCTGGCACACGAAAAAAGGGCTTGGCCAGCCTTTCGCTGTTTGCACAGCTCGTGTCGTTATTTGCGTTACTCATTTTGCCATGTTTGGGTTTAAAAAGCCAAAGGGTCGTAGGAATATACGGAAGAAGCAGGAGGGCGCTGTGGAGGAAGCGGCGTCGCAGGATGAGCCAACAGGTATTGTGAAGCGGACATCAAAGCTGTCCTCGAAGGTGGATGCAGTTTCAACAGCTAGTTCTCCTGGTCTGAGTTTTGGCTCAGAGCAAGGCAGCGAGTTTATCAAGGTAAGGAAGAGCCGACCGAGTGCCAGGATCAAGGAGATAATCTCTGAGCAAAGCACACGGGATGCCGAAGAGAGGAAATACACGGACGACGATATACAGGCTTTGAAGGACGAGTCAGCCAAGCCGACCAGCGACACGTACCTTCCACCAGAGGCAGCGGCATCTCGATATCCATTCTCTAACGAAGGACTGCCCGATGCGCAGGAAATATACATGGCGAAAAAGCTGCGGCGGCAGCGTCAGGCGGCGCAGCGAATGGAAGATGCTGAGGATGGAGTCAATAGTGGCGCTATGCGCAATGAGGATGACTTTGTTTCACTGGCTGACGGGCTGGCCAGCTCCACAATTGGCAGCACCAAGCTCGATGACTTGCTCGACGATGGTGCTACTGAGGGCGAAGATGAAGGGGACGTCGTGATAATCGGCAAAAACGAGCGGGAAGAGTACAGCCGAAGCTCACGGATAGCGAAAGAGGAATCAATCATGCACGCACAAGAGGAGGGCGAGGCTAGCGACTGGGAGAACGAGCAGCTCCGTAATGCTGGAGTTGCATCTGCAAACCCGCATTTAGATAAAAGAGGTGTGCAGCGGCCTGTAGATAGCGGGGGATTCGAGTTTGACAGCTCTTATTTGGGATTCCTCATTGCCCAGGAGAAGAACCAGTTGGCCCTCGAGAAGAATCGGTTAATGGCTGTCCAAAATGATATCGAACACACCAACGCGGCTCTTAAAGCGATCCAGGAAGAAGCAGAGGTTGCACAGAAGCAGTGGGAGCACTTTACGGCAATAACAAAAGCCACATAGCTAGCTTTTTCTTACGTTGTGAGCAGTGTGATGTCAAAGTGTGTGCTTGCTTTCCGGTACATGAGCGATTCGGTGTATCTGCAGTGATATCATCCACAACCATGTGTTTTGATTCTGAGCGACACAATTGTAACTGTCCATACCCCTGACCCCCGCAGGGGCGTAGACAAATCAGCTCTCTTTCTCTCTTTCTCAATTCCGCAGTCGCTGCATAGCTTGCTGTTTTATTCACTGGCTGTGTCATAAATTCCAATTTTGGTTATGGACAACGCTGGGAATACACGCGCAAAAACTGACGATGGCTGTGAGGAATACCAGCTAGGACCTGGAGACGCGAGGAATGCAAGTGGTGTACAGGCGCTGGAAAGAGAGGTTGTGCAGCTAGTGGGTTTCAACAAAGAGGACAAGTCGCAGATAGCCGTGCCTGGATTCGGCGATTTCAATTTGTATTTTCGCGAGAGAAAGCGCAAGCTAGCAGAGCAAGCCGAGTTGAGAGCAACCAGGGAGCAAAAATTCGACCCGATATTCGCTGGGGTCACATTCCATATTAACGGGTATACGCAGCCGTCGCACTATGAGCTGAAGCTCCTGCTTATCGATCGTGGCGGCAAGTTCCTACACTACTTGTCCAAGACACAAGTAACACACATCATTGCCTCGAGTCTAACCATGGCGAAAGAGAAGGAACTTCGGAACTATAAGGTGGTCAGGCCCGAGTGGGTTGTTGACAGCGTCAGGGCCGGGAGGCAGCTCTCGTGGCACAGGTACAAACTTATCGGTCAGGGGAATACAGGGGTTCCAACAAATCCAGGCCAGGCCAGTCTGGATCTTGAAGCGTGGGGTGCCATGTCTCTGCTATCCTCTACACAGAATTGTACGGCGAGTTCGCCAGCGGTTGGCGCTGCAGAGCCGAGCGATGCTCAGCAGCAGCAGCAGCAGCAGCAGCCACAACCGCAGCCACAGGTACCACCAAAGACCACTGTTGTGGTCGATAGATTTGGAGAAGGGCTCAATAGAAGCTGGGTCCGGAAGAACATCGCGTCAGATAAGGACTTTATTCAGCGGTACTACGCCAATTCGCGTCTCCATCATCTGTCTGTGTGGAAAGCCGACATGAAGGACTATGTTGCCCAGCTGCGCCAAAAGTACAAGCAGCCTACTGCAAAGGAAAAGGGGTCGCCCGAGAGCCGTATTATTATGCATGTTGACTTTGACTGCTTCTTCGTATCTGCAAGTCTCTTGTTGCATCCTCACCTGAAGGACAAGCCTGTGGCTGTGTGCCATTCACAACAGCAGCAGCCGCAGGAAGAGCAGCCGGACTCTGCGAATTCGGGGTCTACTGGTATGTCAGGGCGATCGGGAGGATCAAGCCAAATAGCGTCATGCAATTACATCGCCAGGTCTTTTGGCATCCGGAACGGCATGTTCATGGGTCCTGCACGTCGACTGTGTCCATCTCTGACGACTGTACCTTACCACTTTGACGAATACAAGCGGATATCGCAGATATTCTACGAAGAGGTAACGAAGGTTGCGGATGAAACACAGGCTGTTAGCATCGACGAGGCTTTGCTGGATGTCACTGAAGTAGTCAACAGGGAATACCAGGGGAATCCTGAGCTGCTTGCCCAGCATATCCGCCAGCTGGTTCAGGAGAAGACGCGGTGCACTGTGAGTATCGGAATCGGTCCCAGTATCCTCCTTGCGAGGGTAGCCACGACAAGGGCCAAGCCAGATGGCGTATATTCACTGGATACCAACCGGTTCATGAATATGGATATGAAAGTTAATGACCTTCCAGGCGCCGGCCACACAATCGAGGATAAACTTGCTGCCCACGGAATCAGGGCTGTGGCTGACGTCAGGTCAGCTTCTCTGCAGCAGCTTCAAACAATCTGTGGCGAAAAGATGGGGACCAGGCTCTATAATTTCAGCAGAGGTATCGATGACCGCGTGCTCGAGTCAGATAAACCACGCCAGGCATTCGGTGCCGACATCGGGTGGGGGATTCGATTTTCTAACCAAGACGAAGCTGACGGCTTTGTAAGGAGGCTGACTGAAGAGGTCTGCAAATCGATGTCTTCGGCAAAACGAACGGGCAGGTCGGTGACATTAAAGATCAAGAAGCGCCAGGAAGGGCAGGGCAGGCCAGAAAAATTCCTTGGCCATGGAATATGCGACAGCCTGTCCAGGTCCACGACGCTGCCGCAGCCAACAGACGACCCAGCCAGAATTGCATCCGCATGTATTGACCTGTTACGGCAGATGTCTATCAATCCGTTGGACATCCGGTCGGTTGGAATACAAGTGCAGAGGCTCAGTGCTGTCGAGGCTGGCGCAGATATCGGGAGCTTGCTTGCCAGGCCAAAGGCGCCAAAAGGTGTGACCAGTTCAGAGAGCAGCCGGAGATTGGAAGCCGACCTGCCCTCGGCATCGCAGCTGGACATCACCGTCATCAGTGAGCTACCGCTCTCTATTCAGCAGGAGCTCCAAGCTGCATACCAGCAACTGGATCCCAATATTGACATTGGCATTAGCAAGCCAGCTGGCCCCGCATCTGCCAGAAGGAGGCCGGATAGAAAACCAAGCCATGGCTCTGGGTACAGTGGCAGAGGACAGCCTCGCAAGCTAGCGTTTTCTGCTTCTGGTGTGGCCAGCAACCCAAAGCCAAAGCACCGAAGCCAGAGCCTGGTGCAGGCATTCCGAAAAGCTGAATCGCTCGATTCAGTCATGCCCTCACAGATGGACGGCGGGGTGTGGGAGAGCCTGCCCATGGGGATTCGTCGAGAAGTTGCACGAGAGTACCTGAGAAGCAAGCCGCAGGTGCCTCGGGAAAAGCCTAGCTTGCCAGATAACCAGGTAGAAGCAGCTGAGATATCGACTAGTGGTGACGCCAAACAAGAAGATGGTGGCGGCAGTTGTGCAAAGGATGAGGACGAGGACAAGAAGGGCAAGAGCCAGACACCACCAGCGCCAATGCTGTTCGGCAAGAGCGATATGGCAGGCGTAAAGCGCCTGATTAAGGACTGGGTTGCTTCAAGCGAAACAGGGCCATACGAGGAGGATATAGCTGAGTTGGCCAGCTACACAGAATCGCTGGTTAGGTCCCATGATCTTGCACGAGCAGAAGGCACGCTGGCATATCTAAAGTTCTGTGTTCAAAGTCGGAGCAGTGCATGGAAGGATGCACTAGCAGCTGTTCTAAGTCGCACAAATACCGTGTGTCTAGAGATGTACAATGCACGCATTGTCGTTTAATACTCCAAGCAAGTCTCAGCATTTTTCTTAGCCGCAACGCATCGAAAATATACTTGGCATAAAGACGAAAGATTAGTAGCGCTTACAGCTTGGTAGCAAGGGTCTCCTGAACAGCCTTGATGACCGCATCGAAAATACTGGCATTTGCGGCAACGACGCCCTTGTTTGCGCTGAGCGTACGGCCGATCGAGAAATCAAGGGGCTTTCCGTGGATGTCGGAAACCATACCTCCTGCTTCACGGATGACAATGTTGCCAGCGCCATGGTCCCAGATCTTTTCAACATAGGTGGCAGAGGTTGGCAGGCGAAGGTAGATGTCTGCATCTCCGCGCGCAACTGCAGCATACTTGCACTGGCTGTCCATGCGGACGGATGGCTTGGTGATACCAAGGAGCCTGGCAATGTTGGCATTGTCGCTGTGGTTTGAGTGGCCAGACTCAACAGACTCACAGAAGCTGGATTCGCTGGTGTTGGTGATGCCAGAGACATGAATTGGCGTTTCATCAGCTTCGCTTGCGGCAGACAGCTTGCGCTGGAATGCACCCTGGCCCTCGGCAGCGACCATCAGAATGCCGCGCTCGCC